TCAAAGAGCCAATAGACCACCACAGACGGGGCCCTATAGGGCCGATGTTCAGCTGGGGTTGCGGGGTAAGCGCAATGAGGCACCGCGACCTCGACCCAGAGCAGGAGAAGGAACAGGGGGTTTTTAGTCAGTAATAGTCAGACACTCCCTCCTGCCCGGCCCTGGGCGAGAGAAGTCATTTGATGATTTTCCCCTCCTAAAAAAACCTACCTCTACAAGAGAAGTAAATGGTGAAATACAATAAAACATATATATCCTTTCGCCATGTAAGAGGATATATATGTTATGCCGTTGAGATAATATATGTTAGGGCGAGCAAATAGGCTAAAACTTTTGTGGGAAGCAGAGGACCGAACCCGATACGGTATGGAGTAAGAATGTGACTAATTTCAACAAGATCAAAGGGTTTATCGGAGTAGGCATGCTTTTACAGTAATTTGATGTTTCGAATTAACTTTAAGTGTTACGAAAAGGCTGGTTAATATTGAAAATGTGATTTTACACTGTGTTTCCTAATGAATTCGTTATCCGTCGTGAAACAACTGCAGCGTTGTCTTTTTGGGGATTAGGTATTTGGAGATATTGGAATTTAGGGAGAGGGATTGGGGGCGGTAAGCTCACTGACATGACCAACAATGTGGTTGTTTCACGCCAGTTTTCTGTGAGATCGTAGTATCACCCCGGTCGAGCCGACCCATTCGTGCCGTAGCATTATGGCTCTCAAATGTTTTTATAATAACTATCGTGAGACATACTAAATTAACTAAAATTCGCGGGTTACTCACGTGTAAATGTTGAGAAAAGCTCGTAGGCTGCGCGACGTCGCCGCGTCCGCGCACGCTGCTCATGAGGAAGAACCCCTCTGTGGTTCGAAACTAGTAGAGCTTTTCTCAACATTTACACGTGAGTAACCCGCGAATTTTAGTTAATGGCTCTCAAATACTTAAATCGGATATTCGATAACTTCGGTTACGGTTATGGAGCATCCTAACATCCTTGCTTCAAAGGTAAGTTAACATTTAATAGCTTCTGTCTTCATGTGACGTCATCTATGTAGATAATTTGTCTTGGCTTCGCATGTGGTTAGTTCCTTTGATAATGAACCACGTTCACAAGTTTGTTGAGAGCTACGGACAATATTGAAGGAATTTCTGTGTCGGAAATTGATACTTAAATAACAGAGTCTGTGTTACGAAGAGCGACCTAGGTGTCTTCAAGGGCAAAGTGCATAGGTTGCTTACTGTGGCCAGATACAAAGAAAAGTTTACAAAAATGTTTGAAAAGTTTACTTAGTTTACAGATGACTGCTGAAATGTACGGAAAATTCTTTTTTAGACGTTGCCTTACACTAACTTACCATGTAAACATCATACCTTGACTTTTTTTGAGGAGAAAATGTCATCAAATCATTCGTCTCGGCCAAGGTTAGGCGAGAGTGAGTGTCAGACTCTTAGTGAATAATATCCTTTCGTTCTTTCTCCTGCTCCAGGCGGAGGCAGCGGTACCTTATTGGGATTGACCCGTGACCCTTGCTAAACAGCGGCCTTGGTGGGCTCCATCTGTGGTGGTATAATAACCACACCCGGAAAAACTATTTGTATATCACACAAAGAATTGATCTGTTCGGGATAGCAGCTCGCGACTTGTCACGTAACAGCTGACCACCCAGCCACTGCACTTATGTGAGAGGAACTGGGACGCCGTCTCCTCCTTTTGTGAAGCAGTCATGCTCGCAAAGAGAGAGGCGGCCCGCGTGAGGGAGCAATCCTCCGCCTCACGCCCCAGCAACCGCAACTGGCGACACTACGATCGAGGGACGATCTCCGGCCACCGTAAGCACGGGCCTGCGGTCGGCGAGTAAGGACAGCTCGCCGCCCGACCAGAACCAGGCCCGAGCGTACGGCGCGTAGCGTTCCGCGCGCGCCTCAAAGAGCCAATAGACCACCACAGACGGGGCCCTAAAGGGCTGATGTTCAGCCGGGGTTGCGGGGTAAGCGCAATGAGGTACCGCGACCTCGGCACAGAGTAGGAGAAGGAACAGGGGGGTTTTTAGTCAGTAAGAGTCTGACACTCCCTCCTGCCCGGCCCTGGGCGGGAGAAGTCATTTGATGATTTTCCCCTCACGAAAAAAAAAAAAAACCACTGCACTTATCGTGACAATTGTCGAAAATAGTTTTTTAAGGGACCGATTTTTTTATATCATACGAGCTGGCGGATTACCTTATGCGTTGTCGGTCTTTATTGAAGAAGGAGTTTTGGGGATTCAGGTATTGGGTAGGAAAGGGGGAGGGGAAGGAATGGGTCACCGATAACATCTCAAACAGCAAAAAATAAACTCTGAGGTTGTTTCGCGCCGGTTTTCTGTGAGGCCGTGGTATTATTCCGGTCGAGGCGGCCTATTCGTCCAAAATTTAATAAAAGTTTAAGATTATTTAGACAACACTGACATAAGGTGAATTGAAACATCAACACGAAATAGACTATTTTTTTTTCAATATAAATTTGAAATCGCTAATTTTAGAAGCAAGCGTGTTAACTCAAAACTTCTATACAAGAAGAGGCATTAGCCATTTATAGGCAGATTTGGGAATATTTACCGATTACTACAACTATAGCATTGTCCATTATTAGGTTGAAGGTAAACACAGTGTTCAAATTAAACCATTTAAACATATATATGAACATACAAACTGTATTTAATTACTTCCTTTGATACACGGCCTTTCACCGCTTGGTTCCGGAACACTGAGCCGCCTCGGGGATTTTAAAATTTGACGGAGCGGAAGAAACTTGTGTACTCAAAGAACTATAAGTATTTAGTAACATTTGAACGTATTTAGTACTTCGATATTGTAGTATAAGCTTGTAGCATAGAAGCGACTATGTTTAACAAATGTCTTCATAATTTCTACATCATTCAAGTGAAGTTTGCGCGCTAATCCCACAAGCGTGGGAGAGCTATGCTTCGGCACGAATGGGTTGAGTCGACCGGAGTGATACCACGGCCTCACAGAAAACCAGCGTGAAACAACCACAGCGTTGTGTTTGGAAATGCGATCGAGGTTACCGATAGTCCAATCCTTCCCCCTCCCCCATCCCTCTCCAATCCCTAGATCTCCGAAACCCTAATCCCCAAAAGGCAGGTAACTGATCCGGTGTTGCAGGTGTCTATGATCGACGCCGATTGCTAACCATATCGGGTTATTCGTCTGATCGTTTGATCACACAAAAAAATAAGCCCAAATTGTGTAGACAAGCATACTACAAACTCCGGGGTTGCGGGGTAAGCGCAATGAGGCACCGCGACCTCGGCCCAGAGCAGGAGAAGAAACGGGGGGAATTAATGTATAGAACGTACAGGTGCGTCGAGGGCACACAGAGTAGCGTAAGGAAACGCACATACGCGTCGGGGGCACTGAATGCGTTAAAAAAGTAGATCTATCTACTCAGTGGGTTGCTGATTTTTAATTCTAAAAACTAATTATTCTGTTGTGCCATTAAACCTTTTTTTATTTTTTTTATTCCTGAAACTAAGAGCTTATGTATTGTAGTAGCATTATTTCAGGTTGTTAGTATATACTCGCATGCATATTAATATTATGTGAGTGCCATGTTCGAGACGATAAAGGATTTAAAATGAGGAATTATTGTTTCCATCGCTTATTTTGTTGATTATTTGTTCTCTGCATGCTTCTCACATATGTATTATAATTATGTAAAATAAATAATGTATCGGTGAGATTATAAAATAATTTTTTTTTCGAAAGAGTTTTATTATGACCTTTCAAAAGTACTTGTATATTGTTTCCTTTCTTTTACGTAGGATTTTGTCCTATGTCGTGGGTGCGTTTAGAAACATACACATACACATCACACCCAGAACCGGAACAACAATTTGTGAATAACACAGAGTCGTTCCGTGCGGGAATTTAACCCGCGGCACGTTGCGCGGTAACCAGTTCTCCAGATACCGCGTCAACCGTGCAGTCTAAATACTAAGATGTGTATTTAACCTTAATGGTTTCGGGCACGCTACCATAGCAGCGGTAAGACCCCTCTTTGAGGAGTGGCTTGAGAGACGCCACGGCGTCCTCACCTTCCGTCTGACGCAGGTGCTTACCGGGCACGGCAGCTTCGGTAGGTTCCTGTTTCGGATCCAGCGGGAGGAAACGCCCGAGTGTCGTCATTGTGAGCATCACCTAGAGGATACGGTGGAGCATACGGTAGCGGTATGCCCTGCCTGGGCTGAGCACCGCCGTATCCTCAGGGAAGTGATCGGCGGCGGCGACCTCTCGCGCCCGGCCTTAGTCGAGGCCATGGTGCGGAGTGAGAGGAACTGGGAAGCCGTCTCCTCCTTTTGTGAAGCAGTCATGCTCGCAAGAGAGAGGCGGCCCGCGTGAGGGAGCAATCCTCCTCCTCACGCCCCAGCAGCCGCAACTGGCGACACTACGGGCGTCGGGGATCGAGGGACGATCTCCGGCCACCGTAAGTACGGGCCTGCGGTCGGCGAGTAAGGGCAGCTCGCCGCCCGACCAGAACCAGGCCCGAGCGTACGGCGCGTAGCGTTTCGCGCGCGCCTCAAAGAGCCAATAGACCACCACAGATGGGGCCCTAAAGGGCTGATGTTCAGCCGGGGTTGCGGGGTAAGCGCAATGAGGCACCGCGACCTCGGCACAGAGCAGGAGAAGGAACAGGGGGGTTTTTAGTCAGTAAGAGTCTGACACTCCCTCCTGCCCGGCCCTGGGCGGGAGAAGTCATTTGATGATTTTCCCCTCACAAAAAAAAACCTTAATGGTTTAGCTGGAATATAAGATTTTGACTTTTGAGTTTGACTTTATTTATACAAACAATGAGTACATTGGGTGGTCCTGTCGCACAAGATGATTTCTTACAGATAACCTTTGGAATGAAGCTATAATAGGAGTTTGAAATGTAGGTCATCAAGGGTACAATTCAGTATTCTTTAGTATAAAATAAGGATGTTTTTATAATGAACTTACCATGTCCGAGCGACTGGTGCGTGGCACACGTAGATATAGCGCTGCACCGCCAGAGCCAGGGTCAGCCAGATACTTGCCGTGTGGAACATAGCCGGTATCACCTGCAGGGAAAGCAAAGTGTTTTTACAACAGTGTTTTTAAAGCACATTTTTGTATGCAGTGCTGAAGATTCGGTATGCAACCACTATGTTATTTTTCGCGTTTCATGTTAACGATTTGCCAGACTTCGTGGCAAGGTAAATAATGAGACTGTAGATGGTTAAGGTCTGTTTATTACTTTAATTGCTGGTGCTTATATACTAAGAAGATGCGTGAGATTTTCAGATTTAGCTATCCTAACAACGTGCAACAATTAACATGTGTGTCTTATCTCTATCGTATCTAAGTAATGTAGCGACGTGATCGTGCCGCTACATATACTCCCCCCTTTTAAAAATAATTAACATATAAATTGAAAAAAAATTAGTATGTACCTAATTATATAATAACTTAACCTTGCTGATAAATTACATCCTATGCGTAATGTAATGTCATTGTTGCTAATTCGAAGGAAATAAAAACTGCTGCCTTTGTTGTGACGGCGGCGGCAGTCGATGAACTATCCACTGCATTTGTGCTGATTGTTTCTTGCTATTGTTTTCACTCTTCTGTCTAAGGTCTTTAGTATTCCGTAGAGAAGAAGGATGCCAATTGTGATGAGGATTTGTCCAATTGCAATGTTTCTCGTCCACCGTAGCTCTTCCAGGACCAGACTTTTGAGATGGTCGGCTTCATTTTGATTAAGGCAACTGTCGGAGTTATATACGATTTGATCTTTGGAGCTTTGGTTGCCCATTGTTCTCTCGTAGATACTGACGGTATATGATGGTATTTTCAAAATACGGTGAGTATTTAAATGGACTGATTACTTGTGTCAGCAAGTGACGAATCGTACTGTCGGCTTAACCGCCCGTCCTGACTTAGTGATGTACGTGTTCCGCCCGTTGTGATTATTTTCTGAATTTGGCACGTTCGTTCCACTATTGAAGACAAATGCAGGTTTTAATCGGTCTATAGATATTGCTTTTTCATTGTCCCCAATTTTAATGATAAACGTCTTATCTATCCTCTTTGTCACTAGAAATGGTCCTTCGTATGGAGGTGTTAAACTTTTCCTTATTCTGTCACAGCGCACGAATACATGTGAGCATTTGTTGAGCTCGGGGTGAATGAAAACTGTTTGTTTAATTTTCTTGCGTTTTGATGTTGATGTCATACGAGAAATGTCCTTTGTATATTTGTGACAAATTCTTCGTATGTCGAAGGCTGTGACGATTCAAAAAATTCTCCGGGAAGCCTTATAGGTGCGCCATATATCATCTCTGCTGCACTATATCCTGTGTCCTCGCGTACACAACTTCGTAATCCAAGTAGAACTGAAGCAATTCGTTCATCCAATTAGCATTAGATTCTCTTGATATTAGCGCCGCTTTTAAAGTTCTATGAAATCTCTCTATCATTCCATTTGATTGTGGGTGATAAGGCGTTGTTCTAATTTTGTGTACTCCTAAAAAATTGTGAAAGTGATTCAAATATTCTTGATTCAAATTGTCGACCTTGATCCGTAGTAATGCGTAATGGGCATCCGAATCTTGCTATCCATCCCTCATACAGTTTGCGCGCTACTGTTTCGGCTGTGATATCTTTAACGGGAAATACTTCCGGCCAAGAAGTACAACGATCTATCATTGTAATTAAATATCGCTTTCCTTGAGAAACAGGTAACGGTCCAACAATATCGATGTGTAGATGTTCAAAACGTTGAGATGGCATAAAGTTCCCGACAGGTGATATAGTGTGGCGTTGCACTTTTGATTTTGACAAGCTAGGCACGATTTACACCATTCATTTATATCTTTATTCATACTTGTCCATAAATATCTTTGAGTTATCATTTCCTAGTAGCTCTCTTCCCAGGATGACTCAGTCCATGCATGACATTAAAAATTTGTCTCCGAAATTTTTCTGGTAAATAGGGGCGATTTTTTCCTGTAGATATGTCACAGGCGATGACTTCAGTAGAACCCGGAACCTTGATATTTGAAAATTTTAAATTCTTGTTATTACGAAGTCGTAATAATTCTTGGTCATCATGCTGACATCTTGCTAAATCAGCATAATTAATCGGTGATGGCACATCAATTTGTTCTATCCGTGACAATGCGTCTGCTACAATATTGTCACGTCCTTCTATATGTTGAATGTTGGTACAATATTGTGAAATAAAATCCAGTTGTCGTATTCGCCGTGGCGTATCATTAGATGACGGTTTTTGGGAAAATGCGTAAGTCAAAGGTCGATGATCTGTAAAGATAGTAAATTCTCTTCCTTCGACTAACCTTTGAAAATGTTTGACTGCCATATATATTCCGAGCAACTCTCTGTCGAATGTCGAGTATTTTTGTTGAGTATCACTTAATTTCTTTGAAAAGAATCCTAATGGTTCCCAATTACGTCCTGACTTCTGCTGCAGAACTGCGCCAACACAGGTCGAACTGGCGTCCGTCATAAGTGCCAAAGGGGCGGTGCGAGAGGGGTGAACTGTTAATACTGCGTTCATTATATTTTCCTTGCATTTATCAAAAGCTTTTTCGGCCTCTGTTGTCCAAGAAATTGGAGAATTATCATTCTTTTTAGAGTCGTGCAGGTAGTTGTTTAAGATAGTTTGATATTCAGCGGCATGGGGGAGATTGTTTCTGTAAAAGTTGATCATTCCTAAAAATCTTCTTAGCTCCTTGATTGTCGTAGGTTTAGGAAATTCCATAATTGCTTTGTACTTTTCCTCCGTTGGTCGTATTCCTCGACGTGTTGTATGATAACCCAGAAAATCTATTTCACTCTTAAGAAAGTCACATTTTTCGAGATTAATTGTTAATCCATTTTCATGTAAACGTTTGAAAACCGTATCCAAATGTTGATAATGTAGAGCCTCGTTTTCAGATGCTATTTATTTATTTATTTATTTATTTAATTATTTATGCACATCACACATACAGTAAATAGAGAACAAATACAGAGACAGAGGTACATAGGTACTGCATATTCCTATATGGAATCTCTTCCTGCAGTCCTTCGAAAGGAAAAATGTAAGAGACATAAGACACTGTGTGATAAACTAAAACAACAGGTAAAAGGGAAATAGGAAATAACAAACAAAACAATAATTTAACCTAAGACTAAAACTAGAGCTACAGAAATAAAATAAGACGTATAAGTATATATACATATACATAAATAATATACATATATTAAAGTATAACATATAATATATAAATATGAACATAACTACTCTGCACTGCAAGAAGAAAGGTAGTGTTCCTTAACAAGGTTTTTAAATATAAATATGGACTTAGCATCGCGTACGCTAGGCGGAAGGCAATTCCACAATCTTACTGCGTGGACAGAGAAGGAAAAAGAGTAAAAGTCAGTTTTGTGCGGTATAACAGAAAGATGGGATTTGAGATGCGTTCGAGAAAGGACCTCAGGAGGCCGGACAAAGGAGAAACGTTCGCGAAGGTAACTGGGATAATCTGGATTATACAAGATATTGTAAAGGAGGCATAGAATGCGAGTGTTCCTGTGAAGGCGAATCGGGAGCCACTTGAGCCTCTTGCGAAATTCAGAGACGTGGTCATACTTTTTCAAACCGAAGACAAATCTAATACAGACATTTTGCAATCGCTCAAGCTTATTTAAAAGCTCCTCAGTGGCATCCAAGTAGCAAGCATCTGCATAGTCAATCAGAGGACGTATCAGAGACTGCACCAGGTGGATCCTCGTTTTTAGTGGCAAGAGAGACTGTAGGCGTTTTAGTGAATGCATGGAAAAATGCACCTTACGACTAACCTCACTCACCTGACCACCCCAAGAAAGGTTACAGTCAATATGAACACCTAAGTTCTTGGCAGCATCCGTATAGGGGATAACGTAACCATTTAAGCTCAGAGGATCGAGAGCAGAGATGTCCAGAGCGTTGCGATAATATTTACTGCCAATGATCAAGGCCTTGGACTTAAGTGGGTTGATTTGTAAGCCAAAGGATTTGGCCCACTCATCAACCCCGCCCAAGTCACGATTCATGGCTTCTATCGCTGAGTCCGCCTCCGACAGATTAAAATGACGGTAGAGTTGCAAATCGTCCGCGTAGAGGTGGAAATTGGAAGTAATAACCTTGGCAACGGTATTAATAAAAATGGAAAAAAGAACTGGAGAAAGGATACCACCCTGTGGCACGCCAGCAGCCAGGTCACACCAATCAGAGAAGGATTCCTCTAAGCGGACTCGTTGACGGCGGCCCCGAAGATAGGAATTGAACCAGGTCAAGGAAGATGACGAGAAATTATTAGACTTCAGAATACCCAACAGGATATCAAAGTCTACAGAATTGAAGGCAGAACTGAAGTCTAGCAATACAAGAATAGTGAGTGACTTACTGTCCATGGCCCAGCGAATGTCATCAGTGACTTTAAGCAACGCCGTGACAGTGCTGTGGCCAGGGCGAAAACCTGACTGAAATGAAGAAATGAGGCTGTTGCTGGATAAGTAAGCGGTTAGCTGTTTATGGACAATATGTTCCATGACCTTGGAGAGGAAAGGGAGGATAGAAATTGGTCTGTAATGAGAAACGGAAGAAGGTTTATTAATTTTAGGTAGAGGGATAACGTAAGCCATCTTCCAGATAGAGGGAAAAGAACAAGAGAATAAGGAGAAATTGAAAATATGGGTAAGAATAGGAATGAGGAGATGCAGAATAGGAATAAACATTCGTGAGCACAATTTATCACTACCCACTGCTGATGACTTAACAGCCAACATTGACTTTTTTACGTCTTCCTCAGTGACATTATTTAAGACGAAAGGAGAACAGGGAGACGGTGGTAGGCAGGACAATTTGAAAAGTGTGATAGATTTAGAAGTGTCGTCTAATGAAACAGGTGAGAGCGAAAAGTGATTGTTTAGTGCAGCCAGATCAACGTCATTTGAGGCAGACATATTCGATTTGCCAATGCCCACTGATCGCAAGAATTTCCAGACGTCGCCAGAATTGTGGTTCAGCAGGTTC